TCACCGAGCGCCAGCGGGGGTGGCGGAGGGACGGTCATGCAGCCCCTCGGCTGTGCGAAGCGGTGTTTAATTAATTAATTAATTAGCGCTAACGAGGAGGAGAGGAGCTGGTCCTACGCTACGGCAGCTGCGGGGAACTCGGGCGGTGCTTTTACACTCTGCGCTCGTTAAAGGTGCTTGGTATAACTTTAGATATAGAATATACAGGTAATATTGCTAATAGTCAAGCATAAGAATAAAGGTGCAGACATACCATAAATACTGATGCTCTGATTTTACACTGTCAGACCTAGATGAATGCAGTTTCCTATTCACATTATAAAGCAGCCCCAAAATTCTAGAATTTAAAATAGTGTCGTAAACAAAGAGGAGGAAGGAGTCGGTTATGATCTGATCTTCTTAATCTGTTTTCCTTGGAAAAAAAATGATCAAAAAATTCTAAGGCACTCAGGAAAGCCGCATACAATCGATGGACTGCTCTGTTCTCACCTTACATTCAGTTTTAAGGGGTTATTTTTTTTTTTGCTTTTTTTTTCTGTTGTTTTTCTTCTCGGAAGAATACAATCATTACCATATAACATTTTCAAACATACCATTAATCCTCCACACACAGGAAACATTAGTGCAAAATGCTTGCCCTCATCTACCAGATAAGGAAAAACCCAACGCCCTTCACATTTTAGAAGTTTGCCTTCCTAATAATAATAATAATAATAATTAATAAAACAAACCCAAATCAGGAAAAAAAAAAAAAGGAAATGAAAGAAAAAAAAAAAAAGAAAGGAAAAAACCCCAAAATATACAGGAAGTTGTGCTAGGTATAAAAATATATATTTTCACTGTGCAACTTGACTCTCTCCAGACTCTCTGTCCTAAGCCATTCAAGTACTTTGCTGCTGCCCCCCCGGTGGCCCCCCTGGCTGTGTGGGAACAGGTTTGGTCCAGAATTAATCCCTCCAGCCAAGTGCAGCCCCCAGCTGGGGGGCTCAGCCTGCTCCCCACCCCCAGCGAGTGCCAAAAAAGGAGGAGGAGGAGGAGGAATCCTCTGCAATATCTTTTCTCTCTATATTTATATTTATATATATGCACACAGACACACACACAAGGGACGACTTTTGATCTCCGGCACCCGGAGCCGCTCCCAGCTCGCCTCAAGCTTTTGGCAAACCCAAAGATTTGGGGATCAGGAGGGTCCTCAGCCAAACCTGAGCCCCACCAAGCTGGCTGAGCTGCCCTCCAGCAGCTGTCCCCGGGGCCAAGGAATTGCTGCATCCCCAGGGATGGCTGGGGACAAACGCCCCGAGCTCAGCCCGTGGTCCCCGGGCTTGTTCAGTGACATGGGTAAAGTGCAAATAGAGCCGTGCCCATTCCCACTTCTCCAAAGCATCCCACACCTCTGCACCTGCACCAGCCCCCAAAACCTGCTCTGGGGCGTCACAGTCCCCCCCAAAAAGCTGTGCCAAAACCCAGCGTTGGGGCAGGACCCCCCAACACTGGTTGTGTCAGGAGCAGTGGCACAGGCTGGGCAGCCTCGTTAATTACGATGCAAAAAAACTGCTTCAAGTATCAAAGAAAACAAAACAAATGGCCAAAAGTTGGGTTATCCTCTCCCCACTCCCCCTTTCCCAATGGAAATACAAAGAAGGAAGAAAACCCTGAGCAAAGCGCTGTCTGGATTAGGGAATCAAAGCAGGAAAGAAAAGAGGAGCACAGCCACAGCAGCCTAAAAGTGACTCTTTGTGCACCTTGTTCCTCGTCCCCAACGTGTTAGAGAACAAGCTGCAAGTGTCATTAAAGCAGGTCGTTAAATCACAGTAAAAATAATCATCATTAAAAAAGGAAAGGAAAAAACAAGGAAAAAGCCAAACTTGGCTGTAATGTCCCTGTCCCCATCCCCGTGGGACCCCCAGCACTTGGGGGAAGCTGCAGGGTCCCCTTGGACAGACCCTGCTCACTCTGGGGTTTGGAAAGGGGAGGGACAGAGCAGGTACCTGCTGCCCATCAGGCTCCAGGGACACCCACAAGTCCCATCCCGAGGCCACCAAAGCCACCACAGCCTGGGGACATCAGCCTGCAACAAGAAAAATAAAGACAAATAACTCCACATCGGGTTTTCCCCAGAAGGGGCATGGGAGGGTGAGCAGGAGGCAAAGAGCTTCCTCCTCCCCAAAACCTCTTCACAGAAGGGCTCAAAGTTCATTTTGTCTTTTAATTTTTGCATCCAATACATTCCAAATTATTAAATAGTGAGAGCATGGTTGGCCAGGGGAGGAGGGAGGGGCAGAGGGTGAGCTCTGCACGCACTGAGCTCTGCCTCCGGTGCAAATGCTGCCAGGAGCCAGCACCAAGAGACTCCGTGCCCTTTGGAGCAAGAACAACGTGCTCTCCATGCTCAGATCCCTCCCCAAATCCCTTCACAGGCTCAGGGGGGGCTCCTCCCCTCCCAGTGGGTGCCCCAGGACCTGGGGTGCAGAGGGGTGACAGATCCTGTCCCCCAGAAGTGGGGACGTGAAGGTGCCAACACGGAGAAGCAAAGGAAAAGGAGAGGCTGGGAGGGAGGAAGGGAGGAGGGAGAGAGAAACCAAACCCAAACCCAAACCCAGCCACGTTGGGCAAAAACCAGACCACAACCACAACGGCAGCCAGGCTCTCCACCTGCATCCCACACAGTCCTCCCGACACGCGCCAGCCTGAACTCCCACAGCACCGTCCCTGCTCCAGGGGGCTGAGGAGCCTCCCTGGGACAGCAGCACCCACGGCCAGGGCTCCCCTCCTGCCTCCAGAGGGGCCTGGCCACCATTTCACTGCCACGATTCCCCCCAGCCCGTCCCACTTGGCTCGAGCCCTTCCCGAGACAAACGCGGCCAGTCACAGCACCTGCACCCGAACACGCCTCGCTTTCCTGGTCAGTGACAAAACTCTCCTTCGAGGACAAGGTTAACGATGGCTTTACTTCTGAGCTGAGTGATGGATGGGGTGATGACGGGGTGGTGGTGGGTGGGGGGTGGCTAGCTTTTCTCCTCCCCTTCTTAAAACAAACAAACAAAAAAAGAAAAAAAACAAAAAAAAAACCAAAAAAACAAAGGAAAGGAAAGGAAAAAAAAAAGAAAAAGCTACAATCTTATAGACTAACCTCAGGAATATCAAAAAAGGAGCCCAATATTTTTTTAAGTAGGTCGCCACAGACCTAGTCGTTTACAGTATAACGAATGCGATTATTTCCTTCATAAATTTTAAATACAAGCAGAATAAAAATCACATTTTTTTCAGGCAACAGTAGCAGTTCAGTAGGTAAGTGGCTTGATCACATTTTTTTTTTTTGTTTCGTATTAGTAATGCATGCAAGCAGCTTTAGTATTACAGATCCCTTATAGGTGATGAAATGTTTGCTCTCTCTATAAAGTCCCTCCATAAGTACCATCCTGTCTCCTCACGGGGGTCTCGGGCCGGCTGGAGGAGCCCGAGCCCTGCTCGAAGGGTTGGGGGGTGCTTTGGGTTTCTGAC